AGACCCCCCCATTTAAGTTGATGTAATTTTACAAGCTTTTTATTCAGTTCATATTTGTAAATATAAGTATTTATGTTTATTTTGTTATATTCTTATAATAATTTTGTTATAATATTGAAAATGAAATTTAAATTAATCATATATGGATATGAATGAGAAAAATTTAGATGTTTAGACGCACTCGAGGACCAGAGGCTCTGGACTCCACTTTCTCGGTATTCCGCCATTGTATTTACTAACTTTTTTTTTTTTTTTTCAACATAAAAATAGTTAAGAAACTTGAAAAACAGTTTTAAAAGGAGGTACTTGTCGATTCAATTTTCAAAGATATACAGATGGTACTTTTTATATGTACGTACGTGATATCTTGATGAATTCTGAATTGGTTAATAATAATTTATTTTTGCAATTGATCATGTTTACTATCGAGAACAAGCGCTAAGATAAATACCAAATGAAAGTTTTAGCATGAATGCCGCTATCTAGAATTTCTCAGATATTGAAATCAGAAAGTTGCATATTTACACAAAAGTGGCCAAATATGAGTCGGACTTGCGCACCGAAGGTTCTGTACAAATTATAATAAAAAAAAATCACAAAAAAGATACGGTTTTCGGATCTTTTTCTTGCGCTGCACGATATTGCTTTTTGCCAAATTTCATCATTTGGGTTTTGATTCCCTTGCAAATGACGAAATATATAAATGGCCGTTCATAAATCAATTACGTTGATTTGGAAATATAATATTTTCACAGCTTTAAGACACTGCAGACTTGATTATTTGATATTAATATCAACTTGATACCCTCACGTGTTTCTGAGAACAAGGAACAGACATACAGACGGACAACAAAGTGATCTTATAAAGGTTCCGTTTTTCCTATTGAGAAACAGAACTCTAAAAATGAAGTTCATTTACTATATAAATACATTTACAAAAAATAATGTCACACGCAAAAAGTGTCAGCTAGATAGGTACTTTTATAGAAGTTAATTGATCTGTCACGTCATAGTGTCGTGATCATAGTCTGCGTGCGAACATGCCCATGGACATCTAGCTTTAATATTACCTTCTGTGACAAGTCGCATATGTTCATAAATATAGAATAAATCGTATAACAGTTGGAATATATGTTGTCACTTTTAGCTACTACTTATATGAACTAGTTGAAATTGTATTTTTTCGGAATTTATTTGATTTCAATATGAGGCTTGAAAGTTTAGAAACAATATTAATTTTGCACAAAAGTCGTCTGCATGAGAATCTCAATTACATCTGGTTTTCTGCTTTGAAGCAGCTGTGCCTAATGGCTGTGTATGATTTAAAAGGATATAGATGTCAATTTACAGGGTACGGAGGCATAATACTATAGTCCTCAGGAATGACAAAATGCGGGATAGAATACTATATTAATGCCCATGGTATTTTTCATGTATATTTGTGACGTCTACCACTTTCCATCAAGTGAGTCGTCAGCTTGTTTGCTATTCTAATTATCATAAAAATTCGTCTTTTAAAACTAATTCTTCGCGATGGTCAACCCAAAATTTCAGAAACTATCATGCAGGTTTTGAAGTTATCATGTTATTATGTCCGAGCTTTTATGTATGTGCTTATAAATGATCATATTAAAGTAGTTGTTTCTCACGGCCTCGCCCTACTGAATTCATCTTTTATTTCCATGTGAATTTAAAAAAAAACCCTTTTTCTCGTATCTCATATACGATACTTCGTAGAAAATTTCAAATTTCGAACTCCGGGGCTTTTTTTATACGTCAAAGGTGGCAAACAAGCATACAGCCCGTCTGATGATAATATGATGATGATGATGATGTGTGTTGATTGATCAGTCTCAGTCAGTTAGGCAATTTTTAACTGACCTTCGTAAAAGGAGGTTCCGCGTATATCAATTTTGTATGTATATTCATACACCAAATTCCCCGCCATGTCAAGACTGATTTGTATGATGCTTTGTTTAACTGAAAGGGTTTACTTTCAGCATGATCTTTATTAAAAGTGAAGTATGTTATATTGTACAATGAAATATATAAATATATATTTCTTGATAAATTACGTAGTCTAAACATACCTATAAAAATATATGGATATGTTTGACTTTTGTATTTTCGAAGCGATAAAATACAATTTCAAATATAGTAATCAAAATGGCAATCTAAAAATGTGTATTAAGATAGGCGCTGTTCTTTATTGTGTCAAAAGTGATGAAATGTGCAAACTAACATTGAAGAGGCGCCAACCAGGGGTTTATAGACAGGTATTTTATCAAGCAACCATCGTTTGAGCACGCGACGAGCGATCTTATCGCGATGATGCCGCAAAAAGGCAACGAAACAACGTCGCTCGTGCTCATCCGATTGTTCAATCGATATACAGCTGTGTATTATACTAAATACCTCGCCCGCCTAGACTGGTTAGAATACAATAGGATTCTAGAATTCGATAGATTCGACTCTTCTGAACAGCAACCTAATTGCGCGAATTCTGAAATGTAAATTTCTAAGTTTATCTCGAAATTCACTTATTTAAGTGATAATCTTACAACCGACAATACCATTTAAAAATAAATTCAGTCATAATCTGGAATGTCCTTTTTCTATATTATAGTGAGTATTAGTAATAGCTCTTGAGAGAGAGATTTGACATTTTACAACCTGTCCAAAGGTTAATTTTAATATTATGAATATTAGAAATAATAATTAGAGTTGGAAACGCACACTCCTGATTACAGTATTCATACGCTACGATAACCATGTACTATCTGATGAGCTACATTAGATAATAAACTACTGATGGGCATTGATACTTTAAATTGGAAATAACAAACTAATCTTAATAAATAAAATTTCATCCATTCATGTCAGATATTTTCTTAGGAAAAAAGGAACATGAGAAAATCAACTATTTCCACGCCGGTCAAGTATTTTATCTCATATTAGTTGACTCCACGTACATCGTTTTGTCCAATTTCAATATTATTTTCTTTCGAATAATACGAACATTTAAAAAATATTAATCGGTTCAGCTGGACATTGCGCAGGAAAAAAGGCTGCTTCAAAATTCAATTGTGAAAAAAAAATATTAGAGTAAACCCTATCGATTGTAAAAGATGAACCTTATAGAAGTTTCTTAAAAACATTACTACTTTTTTATATACATGATTTTTCATATACATAAAGATTATAAAAACCAGTGGATGCAAATACTCGAGCAGCAATAAGCTCTAATTTTCGAAAAAAATACCTATAAGTCTATCTACCAACAAAATTATTAATATTTGCAAGCCACTAAATCTCTGTTTCCATTGCATGGTAGCGTAGTAACTTCAAAACTTCAGTTCCAAAGTTCATGTCTGTATTGGACAACCCTGTTTATTTTAAGTATTTTAAAACGTATATTATGTGTCAGATGTCGGTGGGAATAGATTTTTGTCACGCGATAATCATCTACTTTTATGGTGAAAGTTTTTACGAATGCATCCATCTTTCGTGTGAACTTTGTTCCGGAGACTACTACGTCTGACTTATGACATTATATTACTAGCTGTTTTTCGTGTCTTTTCTTTTGTGAATGGTGGTTAAAATAATAAGATATATATATACTATGTAATATATTATATATTATGTGTAATCTTAGAGATAGGATCTCCATACTAAATTTTATATAAATCCCTTCAGCCTTTTAAGTATGATTGAGTAACAAACTTGTTTGGAAGATTATTATATTTTAACAATATTTACATTTACTATATTAGATTATCATTTTCAATTTTTTCATCGAGATCTTTAACAAATTCATTACTCCTATATAAATAAGTATAAAAGACTATTGTTACATGCATAATTTGAGCATGGCTGGGCTGATTTGGCTTTTTTAATGTCCATAATTGCTTGATTTAGGTTCTTAGGGAAATAAAAAATAATGAATTTGGACTCAACAGCGTCTAGACCGAATAGTTGATAATTTACAGTTAATATTCTCGTATTCTAAGTATATATTATTTGTCATTCATTGTTTCTCGTTGTGAGTGAATGAATGTTGCAATAAGTATAATTAAATCAGTTAGTTCAGTTGCCTGCGTAGGTGATATCTGTATCAGGAGGTCAGGGATCGGCCATTCGCGCTGGCCTGGCAATTAGAGACGACTGAGGTCACGTTAGTTGGACCTGTATTAGACAGGGTTCATTTTCAACGCCCACCCATTTCATGTCTACAACTCGAATACGATAACGTTATTTTAAAAGTTTTTATTTAGTTTCACTTCCGTATCCATTTCACATCTCTCCCATTTATATATATTTTTTCCAACCTATTTTTATTCGACCAACTAGACTAGCAATGTGTGAATAGTAACAGTTTACATTCGATCTGTAATTAACTGTTTTTATGTCATTACGTGTTTTATTGCCGCGGTTGAGGGAAAGTCTGTTTCTGATTATTGCTGCTTCAAATGAACAAAATGTCTATACTAATATATGAGTAGTAAATACGTTTAATATATGTGGCTACACATTTAAAATAGAATCTTACTAGAAGGAGACTTTGTATGCATCTAAGAGATGTCTATCTGTTCCACAGATATTAATCAAGGAGGTAGGAGGAAAACACATTAGTTCTCAGGAATGTCAACTTAAGTACATTCATAAGCTTCACTGTATATTCTGTGAAGTCTATAACTTGCTGCTCATGGCTGTAGGCGACCACTTTTCATTAGGTTAATTCATTGATACCTTTACTACTGAACACTAATATATATTTGGACCTCCTCTTATGAGGAGGGCCTCATAAGAAGAGGTCCAAATATATATCATCATCATCATATCAACGGTTAACTGTCCACTGCTGAACACAAGCCTCCCCCTATTGGAGGGTTTTGCCAGTAGTTGCCACGCTTGGCAGGCGGATTGGTAATCGCAGTTAGGCTTAGTGATGTTTATATGTTTTACTATATATTTAGTACTAATAGTATAATTTGTTACAGGTGCCGGTGAATCGGGCAAGAGTACTATAGTCAAACAAATGAAGTAAGTATTAATACAGAACATTGCATGTTTTGATCTATTGTTAGTTACTTATTTCCAAGTTTTTCACAGTACATAGCTGCAATAATTATTTTTGTACTTGTACCATATCCTGGAACCTTCATACAGAAACAGCGTGATCTATGGCTGTCATTACTACATAAACATATGACGTCCGTACATGCGCAAATGTGCGTGTACTCGTGTAGCAAGGGCTATAGAGTAACATTATCAGCTTTTAGCACAATTACTTAAATTACTCAAGAAAATTTGCGTCAGCAGTACTTGCTAAAAATAACATTTTATGATAATTTCATTTGTAATTCTGTAACTAAGATTGTATAAATTTTATTCAATCCGGTCCACCTATTAGTCTTAGTGATTTACCTGTTTTTATCAATTTTCACTTACTATTGTATTGGTATTATCGTCGTAATCTACAGCACTTCCGTAACTAATACATCACCTCAGTTATTAAAATCTATCAACTATTTTAATATAATTGTGCCCGAGATGCATATTTCACTTGTCCTTAATAATGGATCTTATATTCTATTTTAGGCGATTTGTATAATACGCCCTATCTGTTAAAAGAAGTTGTACTGTTATAGTGTTAAATAAAGAGGGTAATAACATTACCCAGTAGGGTAAGACTGTGGATGTCTCATGTATGACAGTCGACTAAGAATGTAAGTAGTACGTTAATTCACTTGTCACCATATTCATATCTGGTGTATTGTATCTCTATGGCTTGTCAGCAAGCATTTTGAATTGTTATGATAAAGTCGATGATGTTTAGACTTACCTGTAATATTGATATTCGATATCAGTTATACAATAGCATATATTTCATATGTGTTGTGTGAGATTACTTTATCTGATTTCAGTATTGTTTCTATTGATGTTGATAAGTGAGATAATAAAGATATATATATTCCTATATATAATTATTGGAACAAGAATATTGTACAGCGTCAGTGGTAGTTATTACCCGACTGCAAAAGGAAAGAGTGTAATCTTTTTCTGATGTATGTTTGTATAATCCGCATCTTTGGCCAATTTTGACGCAACATTTAACTTACGAGGTTTGTCCGGAAAGTACGTATAAAAGTTTTTTAAAAATTTTATTTTACAATTATTCAGGTAAATCAATTTTATCCCCTTCAAAGTACTCCCCCTGTGACATAATGCACTTGTGCCAACGCCGTTTCCACTGTGAGAAGGCTCCTTGAAAGTCCTCTGGTTGTAGGTTTCTCAGCTGCCCCGTCGTAGCTTTTTTTATCTCATTTATGTCCCCCAAATGCCGCCTCCGAAGTACCAATTTGGTTTTTGGGAACAAGAAGAAGTCACACGGGGCCAAATCCGGCGAATAGGGGGGGTGTTCGGTCACCGTAATGGAATTTTTACTCAAAAACTCACGGACAACAAGAGAGGTGTGGGCAGGGGCATTGTCGTGGTGAAGAATCCAACGCCCCTCTCGCGCCAATTCTGGACGAACTCGTGCCACACGAGCTTTGAGGCGTCTGAGCACATCGACGTAGAATTTTCCATCAACTGTCTGGCCTGGAGGGACGAATTCTTGATGGACAATCCCCCGAACATCGAAAAAAACAATCAACATTGTCTTGACATTTGAGCGGGATTTTCTTGATTTTTTTGTTCGTGGTTCCCCGGATGTCTTATCGAATTAGATCGGCAAAAATTTCACGGCCATTCTTGCCGAGTTTCGAGAGAAACTTGATTACGACACGCTGCTCTTCAACGGAAGCGGGCTCCATGCCGACGGGGTTTCGTTAAGAGGTAACTTCACAGATGGCGTGACAAGCCAGTTCGCACCGCACGGCGGTCAGACCAGAACTGAAGCATTGTTAGGGACATAAGGAAGGGGTCCTGCGCTTACCTGGCCTCCCCACTCCTCTTTCTCGCATTCCAGAACACTTTTATACGAACTTTCCGGACAGACCTCGTAAATGGACGGAGAGAATTGCCAGTAGCGAAGACTGCACATTCTACCTGGAGACCATCGTGGATAATTCCAAAAAAATTTGTTACAATAGAACGATTATTCCCTATTAATACATCGCCAGTGTAAACCAAATGGTGCAGATGGAGTTACCATTCCAAACTCATCGACCATCAAAAACCTAAATCGTCTATCAGATTTTAATAATCGAAGTATCGTTATATTATTTTAACGTTATAAATATAAGTTAAAATAACTTGTAACTTGAAATTATTCAAGTTACAAGTTATTTTAACTTATATTTTGACTTTATCCTTTATCGATTGCTTTAAAATCACCCCCTTAGAATTTTCTCGAGTCCGAGTTTATCGATTTTGAAAGTTGGCTAAAAGCCACTTCAGGTGTTGCAGGGTTCAATAAACGACAAACGGCGCCTATTGTAAATAATACCATCATTATAGTACGCGTCTTCTGAATCCGCTCCAAAATATACACATTTGGTACACACATGGCAATACATACTTTTGCATTTGCAAACAATTATTATCATTGTAGCGAAGATTTAAAAATATAATTACAGCTACGTAACTACGCTATCATTATCACATTTACTATTGATACTGTTCTGCTCAGTGACGTAATTGCTTTCGTTGTCAACGTCAAGGCTACGCAATTAGCAGTTATTTTGTGTTTTACCTATTATAGTTCTTAAAACAGTACTAATTCTACCTCACAAAGTCGTTAATAACTGTTAATAACGATGGCGTACATAAAAATGACGCGATGTTCATTTGTCACAATTACTTTGGTACATTGACATTTTTCAATTTTTTAGTATATTCTCAATTCAGGTATATCTTTTTATGTTTGTTACCTTCTAACTCCGACATTTATAATCCGATTTGGGAAATTCTTTTTTTTTTATTTTTCAGACTTGTCCCATAGAAATTTTATCAACATCGATTCAGTAGTTCAGTTTTTAAATCGAAAGTAAATATTTACTTTCGATTTATTATATAATAATAGTAAGTCAACAGTTAGAAATCGAACTTGCCGTCTGTTATTGGTTGTTAGTTGGATTAAAATGCCGATTCCTGTGGAAAAGATATTGTAATTATCGTAATAAAAAAGTCCTGTAACATGTGCTCTCGTACGCATTCCTGGTAGCGGCATAATAATATAGTTTTTTATATTATTATTATATTGACACTCGTAGCTTTTAATATTTACGGATGTTCATGAACTTGTAGCTGCTAGTTTAATTCTACACGTTATATTCAATAGACTGCAGCTCGGCTACGCCCACTTGATTTCGGTAATTAACTTTTTTATTTTTATTTGTGTAATGAATTTAGACAAAAAGGGATAGAAAATGTGGATTAAAATAATTTGTTTCTATCCTACTATCAGATCAGAATCATTATTTCGGCTACGTTTAGGCGGCCGTCAATTCTGTTCTAATCTAATCACGTTGTTTATATTATACATACTAATGTCAACAAATCACGATAACTTGGTATTACGGTACGTGGAGAACGGATTAGCCCGTCGATCGAGATGAACGTTCATCGACTTCGAGTGGGATGGCCTGGCCATGGTCGGTGACGTCACCCGCGTCCCGGATATGAATGCACGAGAAATGCCGTATGAAATAGATGATGCCAAGGACAGTTGGAGTAGTTTACGATCACATTGTGATCTTTAATTATATTAGTCATCAGGATATGACAACTCGGAAGTGCGGTTTAGAAGAATTTGCTTATTTGTTAAATTTGCTTGCGTGTGTCTTTCTTTATACACGCGAGTAACAAGTAGGTAGCTATTGAAATTGTCTTGAATTGTTAAAGTTGTGTTTTAATGTATTTCTTCATAAATAATGCAAGTCTTTTGTTTTTTGCTTTTTATTGAAAAAATTTTTGGATTGATAATTCCAGATACGGAAGCAGTTATATATAGCAGATCGAAGTAAATAACAAAATATGTTGACGTGATTAAGGGTTCATCTTCCGGGTGCTAGATGACTTGCAGTACGCGGTTCATTGAACTTCTGGCATATGACACGACAAAATGGCGACATGAAAATTGATTCCTGTGCCATATAGTGCGTAGGTCATATAAGATTTTTGCTTTATCATTTAAGGTATTGATTTTTATGGTAGGCATGAAACTTATTAATTAGAAAATCATATATTTTAAGAGAGATTTTAACCGCGTGAGGTACTATTATCATATTATGTTAATCCTTTCTTTTTACCAAATTCGTTCAGCCCTTGTGTGTGGTTTAGTACATTCAAACATATTTACAAATTTTCTCATTTGTATGTTACTACAAGCGCTTATGGCAAGGCTGTGTAGTCCATAAGTAGATATAAGGAAAAGATCTTACATTTACGTACAGACCCAGAGCAAACGATTATTTTTCGATTAAATAAGATTTACCTACACTAAGAGGTTTCACTATGAATCATACAAAAGTCGATAGGGTGAATCATCGGTACCTGATTCATTCCGTTTCAAAGTGACTTGGCGAATACCGATAATTGAAATTGTACTTGATTTATATTATAATTCTAGGGCCTTTTGAATAAACGGAAACAAACCTCTATGTTAGGGCACACCATCTATCATACCAACCCATGACAAAGAAACGTTACAGTAAGTCTGGCATTGAATTCTTTCTGCGTGCAGTAGATAGTTTAAATAATGTAGAAATGGCTTTGTTTGTCTCTTGTCTAGAAGCCAGGTCAATGAAAAAAGGTAAAAAAGTACAATAGACAATGAAATATGTATGTAGAAAATCTAATCGACTCGTCTTCATAATAAGGGCAAAGATAATAAAGAATAAGAGTTAAATTAACTTTTCATATGAATTAACTATACTGACATTGACCCGAGTTGTTTGCAGTTCTTAGTGTTGCTTCAAGAGATGATAAAGTCTACACATACAGGAACAGACAGAGTTTATTCCTTACTAATATTAAAAATGTGAAAATGAATTTGTTTATTTATGACTTCTTGACGCCTTAAAGGCTTAACCAATCAATATGAAATTTGCTATACAGGTAAAGACATAGAATAGTAAAGACATGCGGTCACGCGGACGAAGGTGTGAGTAAAAACTAGCTGTTTATAAAATTTCAGAGCTATATTATAAAATATTTTTTATCAAATTACGCCAACAGCGGGGTAGGACCAAGATGTTTCGGAGTTAAGAACCTCCTGACCCGCTGTGTGCTGTATCATGGAGGTTAATTATTTACACGTTATCAGTTATATTTTTATTTAATCAACTTAGAATAGAAAATATATTGATAGCGTACCTGACAGAAATCGTCGTCTATAGATATAAACAGCAACCATAACTATTACAGAATATATTGTAACTTCTCATCTACTATTTCACATTTTGCTATAATCCTTCTTTTGCTTTTTTTTATACCACTGAGGTGGTCTCACGACTTCGATTTACAACTGACGGAGCTATGAGGTAACAAATATAAAAAAATACAAACTAATTGAGAATCTCCCTCTTGAAGTTTCTCAATTCGTTTTAATGTTTTATGTTTGGTTTAAAATAACATCAACTGGCTAGGTTAGGTGACGATATTGTTAGATAAATCTATTATAACACGCAAATTATTTAATTGAATTAAAAACATCTATGAAATACTATTTTGGCACTTGATCGTTAGGGAAGATTATCCTGGCGGATTACATGAAACAACAGACAGACTAGTTTGCCTCTTTACATGACAATTTGTCATATTATTAGATACCCTTTAACAGTATTACTAAAACTACTAAAACGACTTCTTTAATCTATGGTTATTATTAATTAGTGATCCGATCGGACATCATCATCATATCAGACTAGCTGTCCACTGCTGAATATAAGCCTCTTCCTTGGAGGTTTTGCTAGTGGTTGCCATGCTTGGCAGGCGGATTGGCAACCGCAGTTAAGCTTTGGAAATATTTTAATAGGGGACGCTGCTGCCCATCCCTCGCCCTCCCTTAGTCGCCTCTTACGACACATACGGAAAAGGAAGGGATGATTCTATGCTGAGACCACACGGCTATCATCATATACCATTTCATATTTGTTAGTAATGTAATGTAAACGTCATATTTTAGGTTTATATATGCATGCAGTTTTATAATCGTAACTGATAACTGTCTTTCGATAACATTAAATTTTAAACATTGATATCGTCTGTCTACTTCCACTGCTGACCCCAAAGAGTATTTTGTTTAATTATGATATTAATTATATAATGTTACCAACAGAATTATCCACGAAAGTGGCTTCACGAATGAAGACTTCAAACAGTACCGGCCGGTGGTGTACAGCAACACGATTCAGTCGCTCGTCGCTATCTTGCGCGCCATGCCGAACCTTGGCATCACTTATGGCAATAAGGACCGAGAGGTAATTATAATCTGTTTCAATAATACTTAATGGAAATGTAAGCAAGTTTTGTTGAAATTACCACATAAATACTGGCTAGGTAAAATTAAAAATAAATCGAAACTAAGAAATCATTTTTTAATTGAACTATTACGGAATATCAGTAGACGGTCTCGTGATCATCAAATATTCGTTTGTTTACATTTTCATTATGTTCTGTTGAAACGGACTATACTCATTTCTTATTTTCTTCGTTACTACCTACTAGTATTTTTACTAATATTCGCTTAGTGAAATCGAATCGAATGATTCAAAGAGTTTAAAATAGTAATTTTATACAAACTCAAATACGATTCATGTTGTATATCTAACTGAGTTCAATATGAGTCTCGTAATGAGGCCGTGACATTAATGGACTAATATAGTTTCATCAGCAGGCTATAAAAGATGAAGCGTACTATGTGTAATTCATGTAAAGTGACTAGGTATTCAAAAGAAATGGAAAATAATTTGCATTATTAATATAAGACCAACACGAGAGCAAATCGTGATTGCAATAAGAATTTTAAAAATTTGAACCCGAATTGAAATTTATTTACGTAAAATACACGATAAAAAAAATACAATTGAATTAAAATCCCCTCCTTTTTATTGTAGTAAGTATAATAAAAGTTGATAAATAACGTGCCTTGAAATGCATTCCTTACCTAGTTACAATACGAAAAAATTGCGTGGAAAGGGATACTATCCAAGATGCAATGGATTTAGAATGTCAAAAAGTTTCTAATTATAATGTTAGAAAAGAATTTAAAAGAGAACTGCAGTATTTAAAGAGCTTCTGCATTAAACAAATTGGTAATGAAAAACCAAAGCAAATAAGTTTGGGATTGATGACCTTAGAAAAGTCTTATAAATATTGACGAAGTAAAGGAAGTATATCAAAACCGAAGCAGGTGGGATTTGTAAAATTAATAATAAAAGATTAATGTGATGTGATATGATAATGTATTAAATATTGATTTTATTGATTATTAATGTTATCGTTATTGTTATTATCAATCAATTAATGAATGAATTAAATGATATACCTATTTATTTAAAGATTAGTAGTTACTTATTCTGATAACTGATTTTTCTGTTTAATATTCTTATAAATTTACGTATTTAAATCAAATCGGTTGCTATCTAGGAACTATTAGTTATACGTGAGCAAATTATTACAAACTATTAAACGAGAATCATATTAAAGAAAGTACGACCGTTGCGTAAACGATAAACCGCGTGTATTATGCGTTGGCTAGGCCATAATCTATAAATATGTCGGTCGTCTTTAAAAATGATCTCTTGCACTCAACCGCTCCGCATTACACTCCATCTAAGTACTTTCAACTTCCGCTTGTGCATTCTGTGTTAATGCTACAGATATGGATTTAAATAGACGTGGCAATTGCATGTACTCATATCTTGAGTGTTAATTTGTTTCGGTTAAATATCGATTTCCTAAAAATATTGAAACAAGGTTAAAGAACTGACAAAAACAATTTTACAAATGGTACTTTTGAAAGGATTTAGTGTAAAATGGGGTTTACTGTCAACTTTTGTAACAATGGCAAGTAGTTGTGGCAGAAGCAGCATTCATACTGAGCAACCAGATTCTAATTATTGTTGTTATAGGCTCAATCTTGTTTTTTCAATTACACCCATTATATTTTTTTCATGATATTTAGTTTTTAAATTATTCTTTTAAATCACAAACATATGTAGTTATTATAGGAACAGAGAAGAAAAAAAAACGATGATTTCTCAAAAGTGTATTTGCAGAGTGTATACGTATTTATGTGCATTTGTCATATACGGACTATGAGTAAAAATGATCGAATTAAATACGTACCTTACGTAAGTAACACATAATGCAATCATTATATTTTATAAATCTCTTTAACTGAAAGAAATTGGTCGACGAAAACTTTCTAAATTTGGTTGCTACCAAGTTACTTATAGAAGAAATAAGCATTCGAAATACGTTCCGCATCATCGTCTCGAAAGTATGAAATCAGCTATACAGCGTATCTATAATTTACATACGATGTCTAATTATCCGGGTCACACATAATAAAAAAAAACTACATTGCATTATTGATTTTATCCTCATCAATATTAATTTGTATTCGGTAAGTTGGCAATCGTGTCCCAATAACGTGATAAAATTTAACAAATAGTGTCGAACAAATCGATTAATGCTTTCACGCAGACATCGTATGAAATGTTTATGAAATTGCATTCGACGTTACGTGGAATTGGTATATTCAACGAAATGGCCGTTCGACGAGGATCAATAAGTATTCGTTATTCATGAAAGTGGCCCACTGTGTCTCGACTGCAGTGTGCATTTCAGATTATTGCATGGTTCGATGCTACCTATGAATATCTTTTGTTTCAGAGTACAAAATATTGTATTGATAAACTCAATTTTTCTCATTATAGCTTGCAATAATGACATTAGAAATTCTAAATCTATTCTTTGTTTGTTTTCGTCATATTTCATCTAAATTGGCCTAATAATATCTTTGAGAGTTTACAAACTATCATAGTCAATTTCGCAATACAGATTACGAAATAATGATTTATCCACTGCGGAACATAAGCCTTCCTCTTAAGTGGGGGTTTTCCAGTAGTCCCCACGCTTGGTAGGCGGATTGGCAACCGCAGTTAGGCTTTGCATCCCTCGATCCTTAAACTGCCTTAGTCGCCTCTTACGACACCCACGGGAAAGGAAACGGTGGCCTATTCTATGCCTGGACCACACACACCACCAGAGGGAGACTTTGTACAAAAGTCGATTGCTTGGGTACCTCTGTCCCATTCGTGTTTCAACCGTGAAGCAGTTGTGTTTGCATGGCTGTGTTTCGGTTTGAAGGGTGGGATATGGCGTGAATTTACTGGGTACAGAGGAATAACACCTGAGTCCTCAGGAATGGCAACGCATGGGGGGTATCATGGGCGAAACAGTATACTCTGTTATGTCCATGGTACTGCTCATGTCTATAGGCGACGGTTACCACTTTCCATCAGGTGGGCCGTCAGCTTGTTTGCCATTCTAAGTTCTATAAAAAAAAAAAAAAAAAACAGCAGTGAAAAAAAAAATTATTGAACCGAAATTACGATTGAAGTAAAACTACACAAAAACAAGTTTTATGTTAATAAAAATATAGCGTGCTTTCTTATCGACTCTGCAGTAAATGTATCTATTATCCCAGTAAAAAGATTAGTCAGTACGCGTTATCATATCTACTGTCAAGTACTGTCCAGGGTACGTCGACGCAATTAGTGATTCATTTAGTCTATAGGGTTACCATCTGTAAAATCAACAACGAATCGGGACAATAAACTTAAATATGCCTTTATATTTTAAACTCTGGCACGTTTCATTCAGTTTTTTTTTTATTAATTAATGCTGAAAAGAATTTAGAATACTGCTTTTAAAATTTATAAACCTGGACTGTGCTACACTATATACATAACGCAACCCGGACGCTTCCTTCCATACGTAGCCCATTCTGGGGAAACTTCTATGGATGTATATGGATGGTTCTATGGATGGTATTTGGTTATTCACTTGACCTTGATTTTTTTTTTAATAATTGCATTTTGGAACTTTGAACCGATTTTAATAATTATTTTTGAATATGTATTGATTAGAATAAAAAAGTCATAAATTTAGTAATTTTATTGGATTTGCATGCTAGCAGTATGTATGTAGGTGTCGTTTGGCGCGTTATCTACGTGAGTCAGCGGCCCCAGTGCCAGTACGTCGTTGCAGTAAATGGCACTGTCAATCTAACCTTTCAAAACATATACCTACAGGTTGTTATCTTGTCGAGGGGCATGATAGTGTTTCATGTTTCTCTCCCGTGAAATATATAATACAACGTGAATTAGTATTTCAAATTTTATATTCACAAAAAAATATAAAAAGCAATTTTTGATTTATAAATACTATATATTATTTAACGTAGACTTAAAACTAGTGTTAGTATTAATTAAGAGGATCTAAAACTTTTTTTTTCTAGATAAAAACCTTTCTTATGTATGTAAATACAGACCTTGTACTGTGTGGTGCCGATCAACAGATACAAGTTGTGTTCTAACACAATTTTTAAGAAATGGGTGACGTTCATTTAGATACGTTACATTTGTACATTTCTTAATTTTTTCTTTTAATAAAATACAATCCATGTTATTAGCTGACCATATAGTTTCCTATAGGTGAAATTTTATTTAAAGGTGGTAAAGTATTTTTTTTATTTTACCGTTACAAATCCTTCCTCTTTATAATATTAATTTATGTTACATGTTAACTACCATATACGTGTTTACAGGAATATTTTGTTAAGACTATTAGCTAAAATACTTAAAATACGATGGCTTTCCCCCGGGAACTAGCATAATAAGTATCTATGTATTAAATTTGCAATAATAGTGGTATGTAGAACAGTAAGATTTGACAATTTACACGGATGAAATAAAGTAATTAGTATTTTTGGGTGTTCTTTTAGGGAAACAAAACATAAAAGCTAATGGGATCAAAAAATGAAAAATTGAGTTATCCATATCTAAAATTGCGCATCTAGGTGTTAAGTTATTATGAAAGGTTCTTAATTATTTTTTTCGTTTTTCCATTCTTTAAGAAAAAATGTTCTTTGTAGAACATTGCTCTGTGTTGCCCGAGATTCATATTATGTGCAACGTATTTAAATATAAGGAAGGATGTGGGACGTGAGTGGAGGTGGGGTTGTGAATGACGGTGCTCTGGGACTCTGTGGCGCTCCACTCATTACACGCATGCGTTGCTAGGGTTGCCAAATAGAAGCTTATCACTTCCTAATTTAAATTAGTACGTTATACCTCAGTTAATTAAAGAAAACAAAAATGCTATTGAAACTAAATTAAATTCTCTGACACTGTGAGCACTGAGTTGTATATGTAAAATACGACTGCTACATCACAGTCTGCTCAATGTGGTAAATAGAGAGGAAATATACAACAATACCTACAATGTCGAAGAAACTATACTAGGGTTTAGAATTTGAAATCTATAGACAGGCCATTTTTAAATATAAACATCTTGTCGATTTAGGTAAAATTTCTAATAGCATCTTTGTTTTAAGTAAATGTATTTTTTTTTATGGGTGAAAATGGTATGGTAACCTCGCCTGCGCTAACGGGATACGATGGCGGAGCACCAGTGAAGGGTGATAGATGAGAATGAAAGCAGGCCAGTTAGGCCATCATGATGAATTCATCATTAATTAATCATGATAGTTTCCAGGGGGAACCGCGAGGAGGTCGACCTGGTTGGGTATATTATTAGCAATGGGATTCTCAGTTTCCATTACTAACAATCCCTTTCCCCCCTAAGTAAATGTATTAGTGTCCGATGGATTTAGAAGTATACATGTAAAAATTAGAAACGGCATTATGCTACATATGTCAGTTTATTCATTACAATACTTACCACATTTAATTTATGAAAAATTACTAGAGCAATTATTTTGAAATCAAGACAATAAAGTGTAATTACTGGACACGGGATCAGATACAAAAGTCCAGGTTTTCTCCAACCATCTGGTGACCCTAGTTTCCACCCGTCATAATTAGAGCATATTTCACGAAAACCTCCGCAACCACCGAGAGCTGCGCAGGATATATGGCTTATTTATTTTTGTATGACATTTTATGCCGCATTGCTACGGTAATAATGTTTTACGGTTCGTATAGGATAATATGTGTTTGGTGTTTACTTAGAAACAATTCCCTTTTACAATACTACTGTAGTCTGTACTGGGAAGGAAACTATAATCTACAGGTAGGTATGCAACCTACGCTTTAGGGAGGAAAGGAATTGTTAGTAATAGAGATTGAGAATCCCATTGCTAGCAATATACCCAACCAGGTCGACTTCCTCGCGGTTCTCCCTGGAAACTATCATAGTTAATTCCTGATGAATTCATCATGATGGGCTAACTGTCCTGTTTTCATTCTCATCTATTACCCTTCACTGGTGTTCCACCAGCGTATCCCGTTAGCGCAGGCAGGGTTACCATACCATTTTCACCCATCCAAAAAAATCTACAATTTAGTCGTAGAGAGAATAATAAACAAATAATTAAAGTGAAAAGTATTTACTAAAATGGGTACGAAACAAAACCTTTTCGAATAATGAAATAATTATTATTGGCGAATATAAATATTACATAAGATGCAAAAAGGTGACTTTTTATAAAAGTTTAATTATAAAAAAATATATTAATTAAGCAAAAAGTTATTAAACAAATTCTCTTTGATTAACCTAAAACCATGCTTAAAAAGATTAATAAAAAAAATTATTTACAATCGGTGAAAATAATGCGTAATATACATTAGAGGATCAAATATATAGTCGAATTGAGACTACTTTTTTGAAGAACAACATCGTATTTTAAACGAAAAGCGGCATCGCTTACAAATTCATGTGACTTAGACTAAGTTACGATTATTAACTATATATAAAACAGCTATATGGCAGTAGGTAAGTCGTTCAAACGCAAACTATGGTCCAAAGCGTGGTTTTAACGAACAATTTTTCGACTCGTATTTTTTTTTATTGTACTCTACCAATGGATATAGTCAATATTAGATATGAAACTTGAAGTAAGAACAATGGGCGCTGGACATAACTATCACATATTAGCTGTTGACAGTAACAATGTACTGATCTTATGATGATAAAAAAAAAAAAAAAAAAAAAAAAAGTAATTCAATTGAGTTTCTTGCCAGTTCTTCTCAATTGGATCTATATACCGAACTGGACGGTAGGGTAAATATAAAATTATAATGTAAAAATTTGACGTTCATAAGCGGCTAAAATGTCCTACATGAATAAATGATTTTTGAATTTTGAATTTTGATCAATTATTTATTTAATGAAAGCATTGTCTAGATAGGAGGCGGTGGGCCTAGGCAATATTATTATATTATTGTAGGCAAAGACATCACAAAATATACTGGCGCCTATATCTAATGAATGCCTTGACATAACTGAACACTAACGTGTTATTCACCGCTCCCTGTAGTTTCCCCACCGTATCCCACCCTTCAAATCAAAACACAGTCATGCAAGCACATTTGTTTTGCGTCAGAAAAAGTGAACCGATGTATGTACCCCTTATTTGAACAAAGTCCAGTTAAAAATTATAATAAAATAAATTTTATATTGCAGTGTTAGTTCAATGCATTTGTTATTGTAATAATAACAGAGCTCTTATTTATTTACTTCAAATTGTTACATAAAACCTCGTTTGATGTAAATTTAGTGATTTTTTTACCTTTAAAAGCTTTGTGTACGTTAAAAAAATCGAACCGTAATTTCTTTATAACCTTTGTGGCTTTCAACCACCATTTTTCTGTCTGTTAAACTGTAAAAATTGTTATATAATTTGATTATCTATGAGAAACAAGACGATGTGTATTGTTTTTAAGAGACTTTCTAAAGTTCTAAACTTTTCTAAGGTTTTAAATGCGCCCGTACTTTTTTTTTTTTTGTTATGTTTACGCTAATACTTTATAATGATAATTCTTATTGCAATCAATTTACTCCCATGTTGGTTATATATTAATTTTATCAATATTAAAGTTGTCATTTTTCTTTGCGAAGCAAAATGTTATATGTTGTGAAGTAAGAATACACAATTTCGTGTTAATTAATTTATCATTAATGTATTACTTGATATTGTTACAGATTGATAGCAAGATGGTGTTCGACGTGATACAACGGATGGAGGATACGGAGCCCTTCAGCGAGGAGTTGCTAGCGGCAATGAAGAGACTTTGGGCCGACGCCGGGGTCCAGGAATGTTTTGGACGTTCCAACGAGTATCAGCTCAACGATTCAGCCAAATAGTGAGTACATTTGCAACCTTTTTTAGGGCGAGATATGTTAGATTGTTAATTAGTAGTTCTATGTATAGAAGATGGAGATTACTACACAAGAATAGAACATTAAACATGGATCATATAATTTCAATATATATATATATATATATATATATATATATATATATATATTTCAAATAACTGCGCCTCATACCATAATATTTATTATATAGTATTTTCTCAAAAAAACTTGATATGTCTGTAAAACCATTGGATCTTTATTATTTTACAATAAATCATAGAACAGATAATAAAGTAGAAAAGAAAATATTCAAAGTCGCGGGTATTCGTCATTGATCAATAATAAAAAGCTTAACATTACTTTTAACATTGAATATTTTTAAAATGATTATTTATACGCATACGATTAGATTACATTTATTTTTGGCCACAATTATTATATTATTTTCGTCCATATGTAAACGTTTTTCTTATTAATTGTATAGTACTATTTATTGCCTATTAGTTCACGAAAATTATTTAATAACGGAGCGTATATACACAGTAATTAATTCTGAATGTACATAAACATTCGTGTCAATTTAATTCTTTGGTAAACAGCCGATATAATTATATAATTAAGATTTCTGTTGTCTGAACGTAAGGGTGAATTGTAGGGGTTCATTGGGTACGTAGGTTGGCGTCACGCTGTACGTCAGCTCTCCATGCCGCCATTTCACTTCGTATCGATGGAATGTCTGAAATACAATAATATAATTGTGTTATTATTGAACACAATAGTATTGAACCTTATATAGATTTTTTTAATGCGTTGAACATGAAGGTTTACGTCCTACGCACGAACCAAAGAGTTGGAGATGCAAGAAACGAGAATTATGATTGCAATAGACTAGGCCCGACACACAAAAAAATTACCCTGTAGATAGCGTTTACGTTAAGCTTAAAGTTCAAAAGAGGCTGACAAAATTGTCACTGCCGATGATTTGCTTCCGTGGTGAAACCAGAAACACGCTCGACCCGGATAGCTGAGAGATACGGGTGTGAACAAATCCTGTCGGTTCTCATTTTTTTAATAGTGTCTGCTGTTCATATTTTTATCTATATATATTGGCGTATAAGTAATTTAAGTAAAAGCTATTTGAAAAGTTATAATAGAACAAGATCTTTTGTTCTATTAGTCGATCGATTTATTGTACGAGGTTTGTCCGGAAAGTACGTATAAAAGTTTTTTAAAAATTTTATTTTACAATTATTCAGGTAAATCAATTTTATCCCCTTCAAAGTACTCCCCCTGTGACATAATGCACTTGTGCCAACGCCGTTTCCACTGTGAGAAGGCTCCTTGAAAGTCCTCTGGTTGTAGGTTTCTCAGCTGCCCCGTCGTAGCTTTTTTTATCTCATTTATGTCCCCCAAATGCCGCCCCCGAAGTACCAATTTGGTTTTTGGGAACAAGAAGCCAAATCCGGCGAATAGGGGGGTGTTCGGTCACCGTAATGGAATTTTTACTCAAAAACTCACGGACAACAAGAGAGGTGTGGGCAGGGGCATTGTCGTGGTGAAGAATCCAACGCCCCTCTCGCGCCAATTCTGGACGAACTCGTGCTACACGAGCTTTGAGGCGTCTGAGCACATCGACGTAGAATTTTCCATCAACTGTCTGGCCTGTGTTCGTCGGAATGTGAAGTGGAAGGACGTCCTGAACGTGGGTCATCTTGAACGCTTTCTCGGCCCTCTCTGAATCTTTTTAGCCACTTGTGGACGGTTGGTTCCTTCACAGCATCATCCCCATAAACTGTTCTGAGATCGGCAAAAATTTCACGGCCATTCTTGCCGAGTTTCGAGAGAAACTTGATTACGACGCGCTGCTCTTCAACGGAAGCGGGCTCCATGCCGACGGGGTTTCGTTAAGAGGTAACTTCACAGATGGCGTGACAAGCCAGTTCGCACCGCACGGCGGTCAGACCAGAACTGAAGCATTGTTAGGGACATAAGGAAGGGGTCCTGCGCTTACCTGGCCTCCCCACTCCTCTTTCTCGCATTCCAGAACACTTTTATACGAACTTTCCGGACAGACCTCGTATTGTTCGATTTTCGACTAGGCCAATTGCCAATTTAGAAAATGTTTTTTTTTTTTTTTCATTTGCCTCTAATCTCCAAAACAGTTTGGAAGAGGTCGAATGTATATAGTTTTATTTGCACAGAATAAAATACAAAATATAACAATACCTTTGCTAATAATAATTGCAGTTCAGCTTCAGCAAATCTTTTTCCTATACACATCCTTCGGCCAAAGCCAAAAGGAAGTGAAGCGAACGGATGAATCCCCACTTCCTTCTGCTTACGCCACACCATCAACGCCTTGTTCTCATCGACACCAGTAGCGCATTCCGTTGTTTCTTGTCTCTCTGAATCTGATACAGGACAGCGCAACTTTTCCTTCTTAATTTCGTCTCGTAACCAGCGTTCTGGTACATACTCTTTTGGGGATGGAAAATATCGCTCTTCATTTGAGAGTATGTAATGAGGAAATACGACATGAGACTGCAAAAGAAATACTGTATATTATATTATTGTCAATTTCATTAACATGCGTGTCAAATGAGAATAATTTTTCTGCATCTTGGAAACACAAGTAAGCTCTCAAGCCATCTTATACAAAGCGTTACTATAGATATGAACAGCAAACATTGCAAAATATTGACATTGCAAAATATTTTGACACTAAATTATTTGTTTGCTCCTCCGTATTTTGTAATTTCATTGTCATATTCCACTCTTCAATTAGAGCTCAGCATAATAGCTGAGCTTAAATAAGAACACATGCTTGGAGGCAGAAACTTGAGTAGAACTGAGATATCCATGCAGACAACTTTTATATATTCTATCTCTGGCTTATAGTCTATTTTTAGGAAATAAATTTTACATAAAAGTTATATTTATTTCATAGATAGATGAATCAAATCACGTGAAATACGAATTACCATGTTTATCATTATATATTATCGGTACTATTCATGTCTATGAGCGATTATTACAAATTATTAAAAAAAACATACTTTTTAAGCGGTATATTAAATGTTCCAAAATATATATCATAAACTGTGGAACTACATTCACGGTAATATTTGTTTATCTCCAAATTTTATGATAAATTTAATTCTGATATAAAATATAAACATTTGAACGTACTCCCTTGGGAACTTCGTAGCCAGATATGACTGCGTCAGATTGTATACAGCGTCCGTTTCCTAATATTACTGGTTTTATTCTGTAAAAAAAATCAATGCGTTATGAAAATGGTAACGTGAAATGACATCTTGAAGTTACATGTCAAATAGTAAAATTGTGTATATTTATTTTAATTATAGTTGTATTGACCATGGAAAGTATTAATTCTATTAAAAATTATACATATTTATATTTGTAGGTATAGATAGATAAATAGATTTATTGCTTCCTCCATAAGATTACAATAGTATACTTATTATAAATACAAACAATTACAAGAAAATATTACACTGAGAAAACAATGGGCGGCCTTATCGTATATACACATGTCAGTATACTATGCATGTAGCAACTAGGCATATTTGCTGAAATTTGGTGTCGATAGTTTATCTTTTGGGTCACCATTATAAGCCGTTATCATTATGTAAACGATATTAAATAATTACCAATATAAAATTATTATTATATGTATATTAATGTCAAATATGTATATGTATTACATTTCATATCATATACATTTTAAAGTTAAAAACATACGATAGAAATGAAAAGCGATTTCATTGGTCTATTCCTAAATTTTATATAGAATATTGCAAAACTCTTAATGGATATTAAAAATGTATCAGCAGATTCATAGATTGATATGACGATCGGATTAACCGACTATGAATCTATATATGTATTTTATAGTCTTATCCGACACAAGAGTATACAGGCACATAATTTTTTAGTGTAATAGGTGTCAGTGTAGTTTTGATGGTAACATTTTCATCAGCAACTACGTGTATCTAGATAGATAGAAACTCTTTATTGTTTCCTCCAAAAGATTACAATAGTAAACTTATTATAAATATATGTAAGTGTTTGATAATAATATTTATAAATTTTAATCAATCGTATCAAAATTTATGCGTAACCCCCGGAATGCAAAAAGAATTGCCCAAATTATTCTACAATAGATGATATGCATATTAAAAAAAATATAGACGAATTGGGAAACTCCTTTCTAAAGTCGCGTACAAATATTATGTATCATTGCAGTTTTACGAGACGTGTTTGTCTAACGCTATTATTATTAATCACAGGTGGTCGGTAAATGAGTAATTCAACACTGACCATCATTGTTCATGTTACACCGCAAAGCTTCAGTTACTGATAACTTACATGGTAACTATACGATACAAACTTACAAAAAAAAAAACAAGCAGTTTATTACTTCATTATTAAATATTAAGTGAGGCGTTTGGTGAGGTACCGTATATAAATACCTCTTTTATTTTTAACTACTGAATGTATTATGACTGAAATGTCAAGTGTTACGATTGAACTTGTCTTTTATAAATATTAAACAAGCATTCATATTTGATTGGGAATGATTCTAATTCGATTCAAATTACTACTATCATACCCCGTAAAATAAATGTTTATTCATTGGTATAGGTTATTAATTAAATATACATAATACAGTTCAAAGTCATGCTGTTGTATATGTATATTTCATAAGTTTATAGATCGAACAGTGTAAAAAGAATGTGGCACTGATAATAAAAATAAATAGACCTAATATTTTTGAATTGATTGCTTCAAATATTTATGAATGTCGAGAATACAGCGACGAACACTAAAGCACTATTTTAGTTTATTTCAAATGATCTGAATATGAGTTTCTAATATCTTATTGAAATACCAATAACTAATAGAGAACGTGCTAAAATCATAAAACGTACTAACATTATTATTTTGACATTATAAAAAATGAATTCTGCGTAAGTATATATATATATATATATATATATATATATATATATATATATATATATATATATATATATATATATATATATATATATATATTAAATACAAATTGAATTAGATTCTTAACAACGATTAATTAATTTCATACAGTGTTTTTGTCAGCAACAGTTGAATGTGCTAATTATTTTATAATCTACATATAACAGTATCAATAAAACCACAAGCCATTAGGATATATTTGGCGGCATATTTTAGTTACAATTTAGGCAATCTTAACTAAAAGGAAATATATACTATCTTTCCTTCATATTGTTTAAACTCATAACATTGTCTTAATAAAGTACGAAAATTATTTCGCGTATTATAAGTACATTTATAATGGTTAAATCTTACTAATAAAATTGTAATTTGACGGGGTCTCTGTACATAGATGTTTAAGAAAAAATATTATGAGAGATCTTAATAAGCGCAACAGAATTGAAAATGATATATTTTTTAAAATTTTTGTCTGTATTATTTTTCCGACATTATGCAAAAACTGTATTATGTCATATATCATTTTAATAAGTGTTCGGAAGTGGTTGTCCACTTCCGAAATCCACGCGTGTGAAGTTGCGAGCAAAAGATAGTAGAGTATAATAATTAATTATTCTGAAATTGAGTACCATGAACTATTTGATACTTTTTCACAACGATGTGTGGTTATTTTAGTCTAGATTATTTTTGTAATATCGTTTATTATAATTGTTAAAGATTATTAGTTAATTTTATATTTAAAAATTTCGTAAATAGCTGTCTAATTTTAATTTTAAAAATAACCGCATTGACTTGCGTGTATTTTTATCGAAAATATCCGACCAGCTTTGGGACCATCCGGGACGTTTATCATAAGTGGCCAATAACGCGAGCACATACTTGATTGCAACGTTAATATTTCTTTTTTTTTTTTAAATAAAATAAAAATTTAAGTTAAATGTATATATTTAGAAGTGAAATGTATATAAGTAATAAGTATAAATTTGTCTATCAATGTATAAATACAATAAATATTAGATATTCTTGGGTGGTCGGGAAAAAATATGATATACAATGTCCACACGAGTTGTTATCACATGAGTCGGGTGTTATGTCAGGGCACGAAGGTATCGAGATCCGTACCGTGTTTGCTGCTCGGGTAACATTAGCGTTGTAATGTAAATATTATGCAAACTGCCACCGTGAGATACTGAGATAACGACGTCGAGGGTTTAGGAGTATCCACTGAAACTACCGCCAACATTCATATGAAGATAAAGTAGCTAATTAGCGGTAGTTATCCGAAATGTATTGCAAAAATGGTTACTGATTCGAAGATTTTATAGATTGTTAAATATTCTCACTTTTATAATTACTAATGAAGTAGTCAGAACCCTTTACCAACTCTAACCGTTGTTGTGAACGTGATATTCACATGCTCATATTAGAACCCAACGTACCAGGGTGTCGGCTTGGCGCCATCAATCCAAATAATTTGGTTTTTATTAATGTTTTTCATCACTGAACATTTAGTTGGTAATTTAAATAGATAAATGGTTTTTGGTGGCGATTGGATTAGAATTTACAGTAGTTTATATGACAGTAAACAAGATGAATATTATTACCAAAATAAATATATTTTACCGTAACGATTCCTTGATGCAAGCACGTAAGTACGGCAGCTTGTCCAAGTCTTTGCTAGTCAGCGTTCGGTCCATTGGCAAATAATTGTCCAATTCTTCTTGCAACTTTTGCTGCGCTCTCTTATTTTTGGCTAACATATACATTGTACTGGCAGCAGCTGCCGCAGTTGTGTCAACGCCCACCAACAATAAGTCCAAAGCCAAAATTGTGGCAACTTGTTTACCTGACGTCTTGGCTATTGCTGCACAGATGCCTTTATCAGTCAATCTTTTTAAACAGAGTGATCTGAAGGCATCTAATGCTTCAATATAGGTTTCGTAGGCCCGAGTTGAATAAATTCGCCATATGGGAGCGGATAGTTCCAATTCCGGAACGCTATGAAAGAAACCATGAATGCATCGGATGATTTCCTTAGCTTCAGCGTCATTATCGCTTAAACATCTTAGTCTAGTGCCCAATGCCCATACTCCAACCGCTAAAAACAATAATTATAAATAGGTGATTATGAGTATATTACTGATAAATAATAGTAATACAACCGTTATTTTGTTTGCTTTGTTGTTTGTATGCATGGGAAATCCCGGTATTTATCCATAGTATTCGTGCATGGGAGAAACCAATTTTATTATATTTATTAACAAATAAGTTATAAACTATATACACAATCCAGTGATTTTATTTTTTTAACAATCTCCATTGTGTAGTGGTTAGTCTTGCATAAGTGAGATCCCGGGTCGATTTACAGTTGATCCAATTTAAGAAAGGGATTTGAATTTGCTCGGGGTTTAAGTGTCATGTATTCTCCCCTCTTAAATTCATTCCTCGTTGTCTGCTTTCTCACAACTTTGGATACGGTAGTTCGATTTGGTAATTAGTATTATTTTTTGTTACTTATTTATTCTATTAGAAATTACTGATCCCCTTAGATATAAGTTATATAGATGTAAAGTACTGATTGTATTCTATACAGAGTATGGTACCAATAATCTAAATCTGTAAATTATTGTTGCATTCCATATCTGTGCGATGTTATTTTCTCTACCTTTCATTAATTTTTAATTTAACTCATGTTTTATCTTTTTTAATCTACAGACGGATATGTCTGTATAAAGAAGCAAGTAGCGACACTTGATGGATTATACTTACATTCAAGAGCCCATTTGTATAACTCCGTGAGAAAGTCTTTAGGTAGCTCGCGATTGTCGTCCAAGATATTCTCCATCCTATAAAAATGCAAATAAAATTCAAATAACAGTATCTAATGTAATGTGAGTCATCACTTTAAACAATAGTCAATTACAAAGTCTAAGAATTATCAAAAACCTAATTAAGTTTTGTCTATGCGTCAAATTCACTCAAATGGAACGCTACGATTTTCATTGAATGAGTTGTTGTTCCCTGCAATGAGTCAGTGTACGGTGCTCAAAACAAATGCGCAGACGCCGTTGTTACAAACGGGATGTGGTCATTAAACTGAGATTCAACAGTTGGACCACGAGATCATTCAGTAGATAGTTGCTGAGAGATCTTCGCAGTTTGCTAGTGGAATTTGTCAGTTATTTCCTTACAAAAGGAACAGTGTGGATGCAAACAGTAGTTGTCGGTGTATTCTTGAGTTTGCATACCGCAAAATTGTTGATCTACTTTTTTTTTTTTGTCATAAAATAACAATCAGGTTATGTGTTAATTGTTCTGAGACATGTATTTTCGCTTGAGCTGTTTTGTTCAGCTAACCGTTACAATATTCGTGTTATTAAGCAGTACGTAATCGAATCCTTATGACTTCATAAGTTTTTAATAAGCGCATAATACAATATCTTGTTGGGAAGTTATGTGGAATATGTGAGGACAATATTTAATGCCTTGACGTAAAATATATATTTTATATAGCTTTTCCAGTAAAAGCATTTGTAATAATTTCTTAGAAATGTATTTTTTATTTGTATCACAAAATTTTTGTGTAGAATTTTAATTGGGTAAAATAATATTTAATTTATTAGGTAATAATTAAATATTTTTACGTATAATCTTAATTATTTATTAGTCTTAAAACTAAATCGACGTTTTAGCCGAAATTACGATTTATCAGAAAACGTTAAATGTTAATACTAACTGTAGTATTATATTTTCCTTAATGGTTTTGGGTTTCGTTTGATCGATTATATGAAAATGCTGTAAAAATATGATTTATAAGCAAATTGTTTTATTGACTGTAAAGAGTAAGCTCATATACAGTATGTTACCATGATATATATTAATTATGCAGACAACAATATAAAGGTCACTGGTAAATGTTTATCTATGCGTATAGGCCACCGAATTTAAGTTCATATAATGAATTTACATTTTAAATTTTGTTTGTAAAACTTTATTACATACTTCTAACGCTAATAAAGATAAGTCCAATCGTACCTGTTGACAAAATCGTCCGCTACAATGTCTAATGCGGGCACCGCAGCTCGAGCCCCTTCTGGTGCCGCTAACGCCTTGGACACTTTTGATCTGAATCTCGACCACGGTTCACCATGTCTGTTAAAGCCAACATCAAGCCATTATCTAATTTTATTTTACTTCTTGTTGTGATTTTTATTGGAATTTCTCACGAGAATATTCCATAAGGAAAGAAATGGCCTATATGGCTGAAATAAATTTTTTAAACATCTGATATAATTATTATGTTTGTCATAAGAGTCGTTAGATTCTTAGTGTCCATTCGAAATCACGAATATATTTTTAAAGAAGTAAGAATTCTACTGCATCTTTGTGCACGCTTAGAATAGATTACGATAGTGAACATAGCAAAAGATATATCTAAGATTAAAGGCCATTCGATATTCAGTTGTCTCTGTCTACCTTATAAGGGAGATTTGAGAACATAGATAAACTGCGAATTGATATCAAAAAACTTTAAGGAAATATCTATCGGCATTCTTGAGTCTAGAACAATGATGCAATTGTAAAAGAAATAGTAAATAGTTACGATAATACAGGATAAGCAAAATCAATTTTATGTGCATATGTGCACTTAAATCATTCTAACTTACACTCCAATTAGTCCAGGTTCACTGCCAAAAAAATCTTTTCTCAATTCCTGTTTATAATGTTTTAAACATGGCGCTACCGCCCTGTGTGGCATTGCATCCTCCCTCCGGTATATCTTTGCAGTCTCTTCAGCACAGAATGGAAACACTAAATCCGGATGTCCAAAAAGTTTTGCAACTTTTGCCGCTCCATCCTTGCCTGCTAAAGCTCTTAATGTCCACAAAGTAATGTCTAAAGCAGTTGTTCGCCAAGGCTTCCACCCTAAAGCAAAACGCCATGAGTTACCAAGTAATGGCAAGGGCTTAGGGCCCGGCATAACCGTATAACACCGCGCGGCGCTCATCGCGATCGGACTACCAATGGGTGGTCTAGCTCCCGAAGACATAACAGTGGAGGCAGTGGGGGCAAGCATCTGCATTACGTTTTCAGCATTATTAGTTTCGTAACTATTGCCACCCGACCGTGTTGACCTAACTCATACTCGTACGTTTATGTTATCACTGTGCTACAAACGATAATAATGTGCTCTGGCTCGCGAAAACTGTTGCTAAGTACATTTCCAATTTTATTATCGACAAATATTTCTTTTATGCAAATTGGAATGGCAAACGAACTAATAACACACTTGATGGAAAGTAGTAACCGTTACCGACAACAGCTTTTAATATCACTATGAACAATTTCTGAGGACTAAGGTGTTACTACCTACCTGTAATTCACTGCCTTATTTCAACCTGGAACTGTAACACAGATAAGGAACTTATTATATAAATAATAAATGTGTTTCTTTTTTAGGCTCAACTAAAGAGCTCTGGTATATTAGATTCAATTGTAGAATGAGTAACAGTAAGTTAGATCAGAATCAGATATATCAGAATTAATGTAAGCAATTTATTTGGTCTAATGTATTTATGTCATAAATTAATCAAACTAGATCTAAACATCACGCTGCTATTCTCCATCCTGGCCAGGGTCTTTATATATTTCTTTAGTATATCAATCAAGTTTGTATGCGTGATGTCACTCAGCTCAATTAGTTGGTCCCTCAATGGAAGTCGGGAGTGGTGCGTCCGCGCCGATTGATTCATCCGGTCTCTACGAACATTTGTACATTTGTTTGTATCTTCCGCAATCATTGCTATTCGATATATACATACTTCCAAAAAATTAGGCGAATATGTTTTTATAGTTGTAAGGTTTTCGAAAGGGGAATCCACCGCCAAAGGCCTCTGGAATGGGGAGAAAATTATCTATACATATTTTATTATATGATAATCGAAGATCAATATGATGAAAAAAGGTTTGCAATATGATGAAAAAAAGAGTTAATTTTTTACGAATAAAAGTGTGCATAGAGCAACAGACGTCATATGCTTTAAAAATGCAAGTCATCATCAATTTCACAATCATTTTAAAATTAAATGAATAGTAATGTGGGTGTACGTTATGCTGAAACTATGTTAGAATATGTTGAAAATCATTAGCGCTGCTTGTAAGCCTGTTAGAACATTTTACGCATATATGTATATCGTTCCACAGTGAGTGGGGTCTTTTGCAATCCACAGATAAATACTGCATCTTTGTTCTGTCTATGGTTTACTACTCGTATTAAGGAACGAATTAGACAAATTGCTTATACTTTCGACATTTATAATTGAGGATCATGAAACTTGCACAAAAGATTATTATTATGCAATAAAGACCAAAAATATAAAGGTGGACTTTCAACCATAAAGATAATTATTTTGAAAGAAGTAAGCAATAATAATACAAGTACAAAATAAATAATAATACAAGGTAATATAACACTATTAATCAATAAATTATACCGTACATTTATTTAATATTGTTGGTGCATTAGGTAAATCTTTTTGAGTTTGTATTATAAACTATTTAATTATAATAAGTAATGAGATAAAATCATATTACGCTGACTCCGAATTATTGAGATAAGGACAAGAAGATGATTTAAGACATAAGGTGTCAGGGGAAACTAAGTTTCAGGCGAATAATTCTTTTGGTCACAGATCAGATAAGTTGATCTTTTTTCTAATGCATTGAAATAACATGGGATTAAAAACAAATGGTATCAAAACTCTGACTTGTGTAATAAGATACTCGACAATTGTTATATCGGATGTTAGTCTTGTTTGATTTATACTGTGAAATGCGGCTGACGGATGCTCTCGCAACAGAAACAAGTAATGCTTTGTGCTCGGATCATCATGTGTCTGCATTGGAATACGGCAAGGTTCATAAACCTAATAGGGACACATATATATTGACTACAAATATACAAATGCCTGAGATTATCTCATCAGGGATTATAGTCGTATAGTCGCGTAACAATTACTAGTGCTATCGATTTGAAATATGCAATAGTTTTACATATTGTTAGCCCATATACATATGTAATGGAAATAATTGAAAAAATATTTATTGAGCCAGAGGGTTCACAAGGGGTACTCCAAATTTCAAAATTGATCTATAGTCCAAGTAAAAAAATAAAGTTCTGTTTTAAAATATTTTATACACATTTGAATTTTCCTTTTGTTTGCTCATCACGTTGCACCGTCAGTTATATTTTCTCTTATTCCTGTCGACTGATAGATAACGCCATATGGTATATAAAGTTTTTAAACTAGCATTTTTTTTTTTGAGAAATTATCAATAAACGTTCAAAAACTGTTATGCCATCCAGTTTTTAACTACAATAATGATCCAAAAGAGCTCAAAATAAATTGCGACTTGGATAAATAATAATAACTATTAGGTATATGTATGTTATATTATCTATAAGAACTACATTTAAGGGTTATTTTATCTCGGATTTATGTACAAAACCTCGGCGTGTAAGTTCAACTCCCATCTGACCAGATTTTTTTCTTAAACACGTACATCTTATTGGATATCATATAAAAATGTATAATTTATCAATAGATTGAGCTCAAAGAAATAATAGAACGATAAGTAAGGATACTTGCATGGTAGTTTACGTCACGTAAGCAATTTGTTATTCATCCATGCACTAGTATTATTGACTGTTGACTGACTCCGCTTCGCTGCTAACTAACAACCAGAAAATTGCTACTTTGTCAGATGTGATGTACACGTCTGATTGTGGAAACTGCTGGCGGAATAAAACGGCTACGGTTTTCGAGCGAATATTTCAAAATGCATGTCCTATTTTTATTGCACATATGTTATTGTAAAATCCTATACATTGGTAAACCTTAAGCTTAACTAACAAATCTTAGGAGTAACTCAATATAAAGGTAAGGAGTTTATAAAAAAGAAGATCATTTTTCGGGCTTTCACTGAATTAAACCTAATTTAACCTATATACTCTTTTAAAAATAATGTCATAGTATACATTATTCTCCAAACAATATTTGATAACCATAGATAAGTTACATAAGTGCCTCGAGGTATAACGTATTGTGCGTGCATTATGTAATTCAGTCGTCTGTAAGATCAGATTAGAAGTATATTTAAAATACAAGAATCGGCCTTTTACGGGGTAGTTTATTAAAGGGTATCTTAATTCGTGAATGTTTTATTCATTGGGCCGTCACTCAGGCGTCACGGAACTGGTAGCAGCTATACGAGTAATGATTGGAATGACTTGTGCCTTATTTGTTGATTATATCTTTACTCGATTTCTTTCTTTCAGTAGGAGTGACTTTCAATGTCACTGTTATTAAAGTTGTTAGAATTAGTAGTCAACGTTTTATATTATACTCATAGAGTATTCGTTATATTTAACGATCTTCGAGACCTATCGAGTCGACGATAAAATTAATATAATTGATTGGATGATTCATTCAATTTATATGAGTGTCGAAATGCTTATCTTACATACGATTTTTTGTATTAGTTGTATAGGCTGGGAGCGAAAATGTTGCTAATTGTAGCCAGTTCCCTAATACAAAAACACGTTTATGAATCATTGTCTTCTATCAACGCTGATAATTAATATTAATTTTTTTAGATAAATTGTCAATGCCCTAAGCGTTTTAAACATTCATAACATGCAAATAACTACATACTTTGCGTGTAAATTTATGGCTCTAAAATAGACTGAAAAGTTTGAAAAAATCTAATGAGCACGGGATTTTCTATCAATGCATAGGTATTAACTTTTATATCAGAACAGACAGTATTAAGTCGTTTAAATTTTCCGGCTCAGGGCTCTTTCTTATATAAAATTTTACCGATTTACCAGATTAGTTGGTACCCTAAAAGCTTAATTGATAAATAGTATTTTCTTATTGTCATATTAGTTTGATTATTCTATTCTAACCTTTAACTACTAATTAAACATTTCACTAGTGGTCTCTACCATTTTGGCCATCCTGTTCCAATGGTTTTATTTTAAGCTTTTCATCTTTTGTTCTTGTTGTTTTTCTGTTCTTTTTATTTTCAAGTCTTACAATACGAGGTCTGTCCGGAAAGTTCGTATAAAAGTGTTCTGGAATGCGAGAAAGAGGAGTGGGGAGGCCAGGTAAGCGCAGGACCCCTTCCTTATGTCCCTAACAATGCTTCAGTTCTGGTCTGACCGCCGTGCGGTGCCAACTGGCTTGTCACGCCATCTGTGAAGTTACCTCTTAACGAAACCCCGTCGGCATGGAGCCCGCTTCCGTTGAAGAGCAGCGCGTCGTAATCAAGTTTCTCTCGAAACTCGGCAAGAATGGCCGTGAAATTTTTGCCGATCTAATTCGATAAGACATCCGGGGAACCACGAACAAAAAAATCAAGAAAATCCCGCTCAAATGTCAAGACAATGTTGATTGTTTTTTTCGATGTTCGGGGGATTGTCCATCAAGAATTCGTCCCTCCAGGCCAGACAGTTGATGGAAAATTCTACGTCGATGTGCTCAGACGCCTCAAAGCTCGTGTGGCACGAGTTCGTCCAGAATTGGCGCGAGAGGGGCGTTGGATTCTTCACCACGACAATGCCCCTGCCCACACCTCTCTTGTTGTCCGTGAGTTTTTGAGTAAAAATTCCATTACGGTGACCGAACACCCCCCTATTCGCCGGATTTGGCCCCGTGTGACTTCTTCTTGTTCCCAAAAACCAAATTGGTACTTCGGGGGCGGCATTTGGGGGACATAAATGAGATAAAAAAAGCTACGACGGGGCAGCTGAGAAACCTACAACCAGAGGACTTTCAAGGAGCCTTCTCACAGTGGAAACGGCGTTGGCACAAGTGCATTATGTCACAGGGGGAGTACTTTGAAGGGGATAAAATTGATTTACCTGAATAATTGTAAAATAAAATTTTTAAAAAACTTTTATACGTACTTTCCGGACAAACCTCGTATGGCACGGATGAGAAGTTGTCACGCGTTATATTCTTGTACCACACACGGTGTCCTTGTCATTCTTCCACGCCTCTTTTAAACCAAATG